GGTCAGATGAAAGCCAAGGTATTGACTTTGTTCTGACCAGCCAGGGCCTTTTTTCTGGAGACTTTGTAGCTGATGACATACAGGAGAGTGAGGGGCAGCTATGTAGCTCCTATGCATTCTCCTTGGATGGCTCCTGCTGATAGCAAGTGATCGGCCTATTGAAGCAATGTGCACCCAGTTTAGCAGGCCTAAGAAAGGCCTTTAAATCAGAAGCTAGTGCTGTCCTAAAGATAGTTGATGAGTTTCTGAACCCCTGTGGGAACCTAATCCATGTTAGTTGCCCTTTACTTCCATTGGAAGGCAAAATGTGGCTGGCTTGGGGGTGCCAGGCAAACGCAGACAAAAGCATCCTTCAGGTCTAGGCAGGTGAAATAGATTGCCCGTGCTAGGATCTGGCTCAGGAGAGTAGATGGACTGAGGACCACTGGATGCAGTGTGACTGTGGCCTGATTTATTGCCCAAAAGGCCTGGTCTGGCCAGTAGTCATCAGTTTCCGGTTTTTGAATGGGCAGGAGGGGTGTGTTCCAAGGCAACTGGCAAGGTTGGAAGATTCCATATTTTAGGAGTCTGTCCAGATGTTTATGGATTCCCATCTGTGCCTTATGTGTAATGTGGACAGGTTCAGCCCTAGGCTTTAATTCTTTCATCACAGGAGGAATATTTTTGGCAAGCCCTGGTGGGTTATCTTCAGCCCATACTCCAGGTATCTTGAAGGGGAGTTTTGGTTCCTCTTGTGATCCTTTTGTCAGACTAAAGAGATGCTATTCCTCTTCTCTGGGAATGGTGAGAGTTAAAATCTTTTGACTCTCCTAGAAACAGAAACGTCTGTCCATCAGCATAAAGGTTTTCCTGGGCTTGGAGTTTTCCCGGTAGGTCTCATCCCAGGAGAGGCACTGGGCATTCAGGATGATACAGGAATTCATGTACAACCTCTTGGGCTCCCAGGTAATATCGTCTGGGCAGCAGGCAGTGGGCATGCTCAGCCTCATCATTTGGGTCCCAGTCTGGGGTCAGCATCCAGAAGTTGAGCCTGAGCTAGGAGGGGCAAATTGTTCCAACTATTTCAGAGCAGCCTGGGTCACTTGTCTGTGTTCTTCTGTGTTAAACAGGATGTGGACGGGCTGATGGCAGTCAGTCCAGGTGGGCTTGTGAGTCTGGATAATGAGCTGTACCAAGTACTGGTTTTTTTGTTTTTGTTTTTTTTTTTTGGTCTTTTTGAGACAGGGAATTCACTATGTAGACCAGGCTAGCCTCAAACTCACAGAGATCCACCTGCCTCTGCCTCTCTAGTGCTGGGATAAAAGCATGCACTACCATGCCTGACTAGGACTGCACCAAGTGTATGGCCTGAGGTGTCTCCAGATAGGAGAGTGTATTAGTTGTTTTTCTGTTGCTGTGATAAAACACTATGATTGAGGGGACTTATAAAGGAAGAGTTTATTTGAGCTTACAATTCCAGAGGAATCAGAGTCCATCGTGGCGCAGAGGCATGGTGGCAAGAGGTGGCCAGAGCAGAAAGAGGGGCTCGCACACTTTAAGCAGGCACAGGAAGCAGAGGGTGACTGGAGATCCGGCAACATTTAAGAATTCTCAAAGTCTGACCACAGCAAAGTCACACCTACCAAGACCGCCCCCAAACAGCACACCAACTGGAGATAAAAATGTCCAAATACCTGGAGCCTATGGGGGATATTTTCATTCAAATCATCTCAGAGGGAGTATGATTTTTCCAGTTCAGGAGGTCTGTGGTGGTAAAAGACAAGTGCACAAAGGTACATTGTCCTTCCTGTATATTTCCCTCTGGGTCATAGCAGATTGGCCCTCTGGTCTCTCTCAGGGGTACCTAGAGTGCTTCTACCTGTCCATTTAGGCACTCTCTCAACCAAGGGGGCTGTTTCTGAACTATCTCTTGCCAGATAACAATGTAAGGGAACTGGTCCAAGTGTCTGGGGGTCCCTATGATTATTTCATAGATTTCTGCAATGACTTTTTGGTCTCAAGTCCCTTTAGATGGCATCTTACATCAAAAACAGGCCAGTCTAGAAGGTATGCAATTTATGGGGAGTGAGCTTTTCCCCATAGTCACCCTTAAAACCTTTTCTAAAATTTCTTAACATGCATTCCAAAGGAGTGGGTTTACTCTGTGTGCTTTCCCTGTTCCACCCTGTGCCAGTGTCACTTAGAATGAGACTCTTTGTCACTGGCCATTCCCCTCGAGGAGACAGTCAAGGTGCTCTTCATTTGGGTGGTATTGTATAAACTGATCAGGATCCCCATGAGGGGCCATCATCAGCCATATGAGATCACCACAGAACCACAGTTTGGGACATACACCTCACTTTGATGTGTCACAGTATCTTTAGTTGTGAGCCTGAGCCTTTAACGGCTGTGACAGCTCTCTAGCGTCACAGTATCTTTGTATCCAGCCTTGCAGCAGCGCAGCATCTTAGCAACATACCTTCATAGACAAGGTCAGACAAAATTTCTATACCATCTTCAACTCAGAAGTCTAAGACCAAAGAATCCCAGATTGCCAACCAAAAAAGGGGTCATGGTTTTGTCCTTCCTGGCTGCTGACCCAGGCCAGAGACTAACTAGTCAGGTGCAACCTGGATCCGTTTCAGCTAAGGAAATGTCTAGTCAGAGGGTACTCTAGGAGGTGATCAAGCTCCTCTTCCACCAATTTTGGTGGGTCTCCTAGTGGACCCCAGTCTTACCTGTTCAGTTGTGTGGTGCTCCAGATCCCTGCTCCTGGTTCCTGTCTCCCTCAGGTTCTGTTGTGTTCAGGAGCAGTATCTCTGAGATGCCGGGTGAATAGTTAGTTCCTCTTACAGGTTCAAACAGCCTTCGGTGCCATTAAGGAGAAATCATCCCCCAATGTTCTGGGGAGGCTGAGCTCCAGAGACAAGAGAAGCACAAAGCCTCAGCATTGCCAGTCCTTGTACCAGAACTGTTGTGGGAAAGGTTAGGGTACTGGGAGTGTACAGAAAGCAGGTATTTTAATTTAGGTTCTTGCTGTGTCAGTGTTCTAACCACAAACTTGTCAGCTGAACTTTGCTGACAGAGACACAGAGAGAAAACAAGGATTAAAATCTGTATTTTTTCCTTGATATTCCATCAGGTTCAGTGGGTAAAGTGCTTGCTATGCAAGCATGGGAACCCGCACTCCAGCACCAGTAAAAGATCTGGGCGTGGTGGTACGTACCTGTAATGCCACTGCTGAGGAGGCTGACAGGAGGGTCCTAGAGCTTGCCTGCCAGCTAGTTTAGCCTAATTGAGAGCTCTAGGTTCAGAGACTAAATAAAGTGGTAGTTGGCGTGGAAGGCACACCTTTAATCCTAGTACTCAGGAACCAGAAGCAGGTGGATCTCTGGGAGTTCAAGGTCAGCCTGCTTTACATAATGATCCCTGGGCCAGCCAAGGCTGCATAATGAGACACTGTCTCAGAAAATACAAGTGAAAATAGGAGCTGGAGAGATGGCTTAGCAGTTAAGAACCCAAGCTGCTTGTCTAGAGGACCTGAGTTGAGTTTCCAGCACTCACGCCAGGTGGCTCACAGCAACCTCTAATGTGCACACATTCACAGAGATATACACATATATAAATATACATATTTTAAAAAAACCCTAAAAATCAAAGAGACCGAAGAGGACAATGACCTCTGGCCTCCATATGCATACACCAACACACACATGGAAAAAAATCATGTGTTTTTTAAAGGTATTGTGTATGTGTGTGTGTGTGTGTGTAGGTCAGAGGACAACTTCTGGAGTTAGTTCTCCTTCCACCATGGGGTCCGAGGATAGAACCTGGGCTGCTAGGCTTGCCTGGTTTTAACTGTTTAGCCACCTTGCCAGCCCTGTGTATGTATTTTATCCATTAAAAATATTATTTGTGGGACTTGGGGTGCACCTTAATGATGGAGGGCCTAACCAGTGTACAGCCCCCAGCTCCACTCCTAGCACTGCAGAAACCAAAGGTGAAATGGAACTGAAGGGGAAAGTGTCTGACTATAGAGTGGGCGTGCTGCCTGGCGTCTGACTATAGAGTGGGCGTGCTGCCTGATTTGTGAATGAAGTCCTATCAGAGCCACAGGTGTGCGGGAAGCACAAGTTCCAGTGTGTAAAATCTGATCTTTTACTTAAAATCTTGATGTTTTTATTATTCTGGAGTTCTTGCATTAAATTTGAATAAAAAATTATCTTGATTGTTACATTTTGGTATCCCCTTAAATTATGCAATTGAGAGACCACCCTAGTTATTCCCATCTTATGCTTTTTTTCCACTCAGTAACCCAGGGTGGCTTCAAACTCACTTTGCCTGGCATGGTGGCCCATGCCTTTAGTCCCAACACTCAGGAGGTAGAGACAGTCGGATGTCTATGAGACCCAGGCCAGCCTGGTCTACATAGTGAGTGCCAGGCCAGCTGGGGTTACAGGGAGACCCTGTCTCAAAAAGACCAAAAAAAAGAAAAAAAAAGAAAAAGGATGTGACCTGACTCAGCCTCCAGGATGCAGAGATTACAGGTGTGCACCATTGCACTGGCTTTTCACCCTATTTTAAATATTCTATTAAATTTTACGTGTATGAGTATATTGCCTGCATGTGTGCAAGTGCACCTGTGTCATGCAATTCCCGTGTTCCTGTGGAAGTCAGAAGAGTGTGTCAGATCTCCTAAAACTGGAGTTACAGATGGTTGTTAGCCACCATGTGAGTACTGGGAATTGAACTTGGGTCCTCTACAAGAGGAGCCAGTGCTCTTAACCGCTGAGCCATCTCTCCAGTCCCATCACCCTATTTTATAAATGAGGAAACCAAGGTGCAGAGGGGTAAAATAATCTGTCCTAGATCACACAGTGGAGAAAGGGTGGCACTGGGATTTGAACTTGGGTAGCTCAGCTGCAAGCTGCAGTACCGGGGTCTTCAGAGCCATGCAGACCCTGTCTGTACCTTCTGCTCTAGGAGGGAGTGTGGTTCGGGGAGGAATGTCAGCTTTTAGGTATGCTATTCAAGAAATTTATTTTAAAATCTGAGAAATGAGGGCAGGATAGGGAGAACCAGTCAGTCACATCTGGGGACCATCTAAGTCTGTCCTTCTGATATGGTGGCACTTAGGGCTGCCCGGAGCTCCTCAGGAGCAAAGACACCCAGCTCGGTAATGATGCCGCCGGTGATGAGCTGGTGAGGTGTGATGTCAAAGGCAGGATTCCATACTCCAATCCCTGAAGGGGTGAGAAGGTACATGAAGAGATGGGGGTTCGCTCTGGAAGTTTCTAGGCTGTGGTCATGTCTCTGCCACAGTGGTTCTTGAGGTTGTAGAATCAGCTGCCTGAGAAGGCGTCAGCCTTACATATACCTACCCATTTCTGCCGGCTATAAAGAGCTCTTTAAGAATCTCACAATCTGGGACTGAAGAGATGGCTCTGTGGTTAAGATCACTGGTTCCTCTTGCAGAGGACCTGGGCTTGGTTTCCTGCACCAAAATGGGCAAGTAATAACTGCCTGTAACTCCAGTTCCAGGGGACCGGACACCCTCTTCTGGCCTCTTCGGGCACTGCATGCAGAGGTACATTTACATGGAGGCAAAACACTCATTCAAATAAAATAAATATATTTAAAAAAACTAAAATAAGCTGGGTGTGATGGTGCACACCTTTAATCTCAGCACGAGGGAGGCAGAGACAGGTGAGTCTGTGAGTTCAAGGCCAGCCTGGTCTACATAGTGAGTTCTAGGTCAGCTGGGGCTTCAGACCTTGCCTCAAAAAGACCTCCCAAAAAACCAAAATAAAAATCTCCGGCCCAGATACAGATGTGCTTTGCTGCTTCATATTTATTTTAAGAGTGATGGGGTGGGGTCCTGACCAGGGTCTCTTCCATCTCTTCCATGCAAGGAAGCACTCCACAGTGAGTGACACTCCCAGTCCAAGGTAGTTTTCTTCACAGACATTTTTTTAAAATTAATTATTTTATTTTATGTGTATGTGTATATTGCCTGCATGTAGGTAAGTGCACCATGTCGTGCAATGCCTGCAGAGGACAGAAGAGGGCATTTGGAACTGGAGTTATGGATGGTTGTTAGCCGCCTTGTGGATGCTGGGAGTCAAACCCCAGTCCTCTGATAGACATTTTTAAAATGTAATACTTTTTTTTTTTTAATCTTTTTGAGACAGGGTCTCCCTGTAGCCCCAGCTGTCCTGGAACTCACTGTGTAGACCAGACTGGCCTTGAACTCACAGAGATCCACCCACCTCTGCCTCCCAAGTGCTGGGATTAAAGGTGTGTGCCACCACACCCATCCAAAATGTAATACTTAAAAAAATTATTTATTATTTTTATTTTATGTGTCTGCATGCGTTGCCTGCATGCAGGTAAGTGCACCTGTGTCATGCAATGCCTGCAGAGGTCAGAGGAGGCTGTTGGATCCCCTGGAACTGGAGTTGTTAGCTGCCATGTGGGTGCTAGGATTCGAACCTGGGTCTTCTGCAAGAACAGCCAGTGTTCTTAACCGCTGAGCCATCTCTTCAGCCCAAAATGTAATACTTTTTATCCTTTTGAATTTCATACAAGTATACAATGTATTTTGATTACTTTTAATTAATTTTTTTTTGTGGTACTGGGGACTGAACTTCAGGTCTTATACATTCTCTGGATCTAACCTACATCTTGACCCTTAAAAAAATGTTTTGGGCCGGGTGTGGTGGCGCATGCCTTTAATCCCAGCACTTGGGAGGCAGAGGCGGGTGGATCTCTGTGAGTTCAAGGCCAGCCTGGTCTACATAGTGAGTTCCAGGACAGCTGGGGCTACAGGGAGACCCTGTCTCAAAAAGAGACAAAAAAAAAAAATGTTTTGGGAGCTGGAGCGATGGCTCAGTGGTTGAGAGAGCTGGCTGTTCTTGCAGAGGACCTGGGTTCAATTCCCAGCACATAAATGCCTGCTGATGACTACCTGGAATTCCAGTTTCAGGGGATCCAGTACCCTCTTCTGTGGGCATTTCCCACACATGGTACACTTACATGCATGCAGGCAAGATACTTATACACATAAAATAAAAATAAATAAATATGTTTTCTTTTGAGACAGAGTCTTACAAATTTGATGAGGCTGGCCTTGAACTGGTGATCCTCCTGTCCTAGCCCATTAGTAGCTGGGATTACAGCCTGTGCCAGTAGGCTCAGCTTTTTGATTTTTTGAGACAGGATCTCACTGTGTAGCCAGGCTGGTATTGATCTCTTAGCAATTCCCTTACCTCAGCCTGGCCAGTGCTGGGATCACAGGAGACAGCACACCTGGCTGTCTTAATGACTTTATGACAACAAATAGGTAGCTATTTCTTGGGTTTTATGCTTTTCTGGTTGTTTTGGTGTGTTTCAGATAGGGCCTCACTCAGTAGCCCATGCTGGCCTGAAAGTCACTAGTAGCTCCATCTGGCTTTGAACTACTGTGGATCCTCCTGCCTCAGCCTCCTGAGTCTGGGCTTACAGGTGTACGTTACCACACTCAGCTTGTTTTGTGAGCTAGAGTATCTCAATGAACCTGGAGCTGGCCAGAGAGTTCAGGGATCCACCCATCTCTACTTCCCTAGCACTGGGGTTACAAACTTGTTTCAACACCTGGCTTTTTAAAAATCGAGTCGATGCAGGGCATGGTGTACTTAGGAAGCAGATCACTGTGAGATCAAGGCCAGCTTGGTCTATGTAGGGAATTCCAGGCCAGCTGGGGCCACAGGAGACCCTGTCTCAAAAAAATAAAAATAAATTTTTAAAAAAGAGTTGTAGGAATCAAACTCAGGTCCTTCATACTTGTAAGGCACACACTCTACCAACTGCGCCATCTCTCCAGATACCCAGTACTACTTGTAATATTCAGGTGAGAAAATGGAGCTGGAATGAGAGGATTTGCTCAGGCTGTTCACGTAACCTGTTAGTTGCAAAGTTTGACCTTCATCAGACTCCAGCTCTGAGGAAGGAGCTGAGCTGCACGTGTCCCTGAATCCCATGATGCCCCAAGTGCCAAGCCTACCACTTACCGGGTGCTGCAATCCTGACTCCATTTAGGTCCGTCAGCTCCTGGCCAGGGCGTTCTTCTATGACAATCTCCTGGCCAGTCTCCAGATGGAGATCACAGGAGGAGCTGGGTGCAGCCACGTAGAAGGGGATGCCATGGTGGTTGGCAATGATGGCCAGCTGGTAGGTGCCCACTTTGTTGGCTGTATCTCCATTGGCAACCACTCGGTCCGCTCCCACCACTACAGCTGTGAGTGAGAAGTTGAAAAGGTCACGTGCCTGGCTCTGGCCCGTGGCATCACTGGCCCAACTATGCCCAGCCTACTGACCTGACACGCCCCAGTGTGCCACAGCAGCAGCTACCATGCTGTCAGCAATGAGGGTGGCGGGGATCTGTTCATATACTAGCTCAAAGGCTGTGAGCCGGGCTCCCTGGTTGTAGGGCCGGGTCTCCGTGCAGAAGACGTGTTCTAGGTGACCCATCTTGTGCAGTGACCGGATCACACCTGTGGGGGACACACAGGAACATGCAGGTGAGCAGCGTGGTTCCAGAAGTTAGCCCTGCAAGCTCCTAGGATGGCACGGAACAGTGTGGCCCCAGGCGTCTGCCCTGGCTGTTCCCTCTGCCTCACACTGCTCTTGGCTTCCCTCGTCTTTATACTTGTCACTTTCCCAGCATCCAAGGATTCCTATCTCACACGGCATCTCTGCCTCTGATCTCCAGCGCTGCCCTGTCCTTATCATTCAGGACTTTTGTTGCTGAGTTGGGTCTTGCTATGTGATCCAGGTTGGCCTTGAAATGTGATCTTCTTGCCATAGCCTCTGAGTGCCATTTTGCACCTTCTAAGACATTTAAAAAATTTAATTATTGGGGCTGGAGAAATGGCTCAGAGGTCAAGAGGACTGATTGCTCTTGCAGAGGACCTGGGTTCAATTCCCAGCACCCAATGGCGGCTACGAACCGTCCTTAACTCCAGTTCCAGGGGAATCCGAAGCCCTCTTCTGACCTCTGTGGCACTGCACGACACAGGTGCACTCACATACATGCAGGCAATACCCTCGGGATGACCTTGAGCTCCTCATCCTCCTGCCTCTACCTCCCAAGTGCTAGTATTCTAGGCATGTCCTACCACCATTTACTGAATTTCAGACACTGCTGTTTATAACCTTAATTTGGCCTTGAAGTGTGTAACATAGCAAGCAGCCAGGAAACTATGATACAGTAAGACTCTAGAAAGCTGCAGGATAGGGAGCCAAGCTGTCATGTAGTGACAAAAGCAGAAGAATGAGCCAAGCAATCCCAGCATAGGCTGAGGCAAGAGTATGGCTGTGAGTCGCAGACTAGTGTGGGCTACGTAGGGAGACATTATCTCAAGGAAAAAAGGGGGGCACATGCTGGAAAAATGGCTCAGCAGTTAAGAGCACTTGGCTGCTCTTGCAGAAAACCTGGGTTCAGTTCCCGGCACCCACATGGCAACTAACAACCATCTGTAACTCCAGTTCCAGGGGATTCGACGCTCTCTTCTGACCTTACACACATGCAAGCAGTATACTCTTACACATACAACAAATCTACAGAGAGAGTCAGAAAACAGCTCAAAACCTTCCTGTAGGAACCAGAATCTACAGGAGGTGAAGCTTGTCCCTGTCAGGCTGCTCTTGAGACCTTGCCTGAGATTTGGGTGGTGATGGGTAGAAGCAGCAGGAAAGGCTTCTATAAGGGACAGTTTCCTGGGGCTGGAGAGATGGCTTGGTGATTAAGAACACTTGCTATTCTTCTAGAGGACCTGGATTTTATTCCTAGCATCTACATAGTAGCTAACAACCATCTGTAACTCCAGTTCCAGGGAATCCAACATCCTCTTCTGGCCTCTGTGGGGCAATGCATACATGTGGTGTGCTTACATACATGCAGGCAAGACACTCATATTTTTTAAAAATTTAATTACTTTGCTGGGCACGGTGGTGCACGCCTGTAGTCCCAGCTCTTGGGAGGCAAGAGGCAGGCAGATCTCTGTGAGTTCAAGGCCAGCCTGGTCTACATAGTGAGTTCCAGGACAGCCGGTGCCACAGGGAGACCCTGGTTCAAAGAGATTAAAAAAAAAATTAATTATTTTATGTGGATGAGTGTTTTGCCTGCAAGTATCTAAGTGCAACTGTGTCATGTAGTGCCTACAGAGGCCAGAAAAGGGTGTCAGATCCCCAGGAACTGGAGTTATGGATGGTTATTAGCTGCCATGTGGGTGCCAGGAACTGAACCCAGGACCTCAACAGGAGTAGCTAGTGCTCTCAACCACTGAGCCATCTTTTTAGCCTCCTCTAAGATATTTTTTGGTTTTTTTTTTGCAGGTTGAAGGAGGGAATCCAGGGCCTTACACTTACTAGGCAGATGCTCCACTTCTGGCCACACTGTCAGCCTCACAGGAGGATTATTAGCAATGCCTCCAGCTCCATCAAGCCATTATACTCTTATATCTAGGCTCTTGCTGTACCTCCCATCTCCCTAGGATATGGGATGCCTGGTATCTTTTCTATTTTGTCACTGCTATGTCCCCACTCCTTGGAAGAGTCCCTGACACCCAGTAGTTACTTAATGAGAATGGTCTGCAGGAGTCATTTCCTGAAGACCTGGGCTCTCAATGTTGAATGCTGGACTCTGGCAGGTAGGATTTCCTGGACCACCTTGGGTCTTGGGTGGAATCTGCTGGTTTGACTTACAAGTCCTTCTATCCTCATCACAACTTCCCCAGTCTTGCTTAGGGAATGTCACTGCCAGCTACCCAGTTCTCTAAGTGAGTGGCTCAGGCCAGGCCCCCGGGCAGATGACCCAGGGAAGATTCTAGTACCCCTGGTAGAGCCCCTTCAATCCATGGACAATGAGGGATAGGTTCCCAATGCTGTTGGTTGAACTCCTTGCTTTTACCCATATCTAAAGACACTTCCCTAAGAGTTTTTTTAATAAGAACCAATATTTTCACATTTCAGTGACCATAATAATTTGGGTATCTTCTTTTGGGTGCTGGGGACTGAATAGTGAGCCTGTGTGTGTTAAGCTAAGCCATGTATTCTCTTTTTAAAAATTCTATGTGTATTTGGAGGCAGAGGCAATCTGATCTTTGTGAGTTCGAGGCCAGCCTGATCTACATCGTGAGTTCCAGGACAGCTGGGGCTGCAAGGAGACCCTGTCTCAGAAAGACAAAAAAAAAAAAAAAAAAAAAAATTCTATGTGTATGGGTGTATTGCCTGCATGTATTGCACTCATGTCATGCAATGCCTGAGGATGACAGAAGAGGGTGTCAGATCCCCTGAAACTGGAGTTATAGACAGTTGTTAACTGCCATGTGGGTGCTGGGACTTGAACCCGGGTCTTCTGCAAAAACAGCCTGTGTTCTTAACTGCTAAGCCATCTCTCCAGCTTGCCATGTACTCTCTTAAAATTTATTTTTTGAGCTCAGTGGTTAAGAACACTGACTGTTCTTGCAGAAGACCCAGGTTCAAATCCCAGCGCCCACATGGCAGCTAACAACTGTCTGTAACTCCAGTTCGAGGGGATCCAACAACCTCTTCTGTCCTTTGCGGGCATTGCATGACACACATGGGTGCACTTACATTACACGCAGGCAATACATGCATACACATAAAATAAAAATAATCAAATTAAAAAAAAGAAAAAAATGTATTTTATTTTTAATTCTATGTATGTGTGTGTATATGCATGTGAGTACAGGTGGGTGCTTGTGAAGGTCTGAAGAGGGCATCAGATCCCTCAGAGCTGAAGCTACAGGCAGTTGTGTGCTACCTGATGAGGGTGCTGGGAATCAAACTGGGATCCTCTGCAAGCAGAGGAGCAAGCACCCCTTTTAAAGAAATCTTTTTGAAACAGGGTTTCCCTATAACCCCAGCTGGCCTGGAACTCACAGAGATCCCCTGCCTCTTCCTCCCTAGTGCTGGGATTAAAGCCATGGGCCACTAGGCCTAGCTAAGCACCTTTAACTGCTGAGCCATTTCTCCAGCCCCAGCCACACATGTACTTTTACAACACTGAACTATACCCTAGTTCTGGTTGCATTGCCCTGCATGCAAAAGAGACCCTTCCATACCCCAACATAGGATGCCTCCTCACCTAGGGCTGTGCCATAGCCAGCTGTGGCAAGTGCGCCAGTGTTACAGTGGGTCAGCACTGTCACCTTGCCACCCCTGGGTGCTGCTCGCTCCAGGAGGTGGCAGGCTCCCAGGTCCCCGATGCTCCGGTTATCTCTGAGGTCCTTCTCCAACATGTCCTCGGCATAGCGGATCACTCTGGGGACAGCAAGTACTCTCAGCTCTCTTCCTACGGCCTAGGCTAACGGTTCTTCTCCCCTTTGCTCCTGCTCAAGCCTCTCTAGCTCACACTTGGACACTCCGTCATGCAGGGTTTGTTTGCAGAGCTGTTCAAGTGAGCCAGGTGCTGGGGATGGGGCACAGCAGACAGCAAGACAATGCCCTCAGCCTCAGACATTGCCTTAGGAGGGGGAGAGAATGAACCGGCAGAATCGGGACTGGGAGCAAGTCATCAGATGTATTTACTACAGAGGCCGGAGGAGAAATCCCAAACCGGAAGGTGGAGTTGGATTAATGTCGAGACTCAGGCTGAGGCAAGAACTGTGCAAATGCCTTGAAGTGGGAGCCAGCCTGCTGAGGCTGAACAGCCTTGAGAATCTAGTGGCTGGAACGGAAGGGAAAAGAAAAAAATAAAAGAGGGAGTAGACAGGGATTCAGGACAGGACACAGAATTCCTCAAAGCATAACCCAAGAGAGCAAGCAGGCTGGAGCCCTTGGATGTGGTGCAGCTCCCAGCACCAGCTCGCGTACCTCTCCCGAACAGTCTTCTCGGTGGCGCCCTCCTGCTCTGCCTCCTGGGCCGCGACGTGGGCCAGATCGCGGGCGGCCCGGGCCATGTTGACAGCGGTGGGCCGTGCGCTGACGAGGAAGTTCAGCTGGTCGTGCACAAAGGCCACCAGGGCGAGGAGCCCAGGTCCCCCGGCGCCGGCCTGCAACTCCACCGCCAGGCTGAGGCAGCCCACCAGGGCGATGGCGGGGGCGCCGCGCACCTAGAGGAAGGGAGCTAAGGGTTTGCGGCAGCAAGGGAGGGAGCCGTCTCCACCCCCGCCCGGCAGCCCTTAGTCCCCAACGCCCCCAGCCCACCTTCATGGCACGGATGGCCTCCCAGGCCTGCTGCACCGAGCCCAGCACCTCGTAGTGACTGTGCAGGGGCAGCTGCAGTTGGTCTAGGATCTGTAGCGACCCGCGAGAATAGCGGATCGCCTCCAGACCCATGGCGCGAACACGCGACCCCTCTACACTATTCTGGGCGGTGGAAGCACGCAGGCGGGAGAGGGCGGGGCGGGGCCTCCTTCTGCGCAGGCGCAGAACCTAGCTCTGGGTCCAGGTCGGGCCAGGACGTGCTGTCAGCTGCACTTCAGGACTCTGTGCTGTCGAGTCGGATCCAGTCGTTAAGTTAGAGGAAAGCATCACCCCAAATCCAAAAGAGCCCACGCGGGACCCCTTCCCCAGCCAAAGGGGGTAATTCAAGGCACAAACTCTTCCCTTTTGGGTGATGAGGAAGAACTCAGGACCGTCAGGGCGCCCTGTTGAGGTGCGCCTCTGGGCGCAGATGGGTTAGTTCCTTCCCGGAGACTCGTCCATCTTCTCGTGGAGCAAATATGCAGCCCGGCGGCAGCCTACACGGGATGCAGGAAGGACTCAGGGAAACCTCAACATCTGCAGGCACACGGACATCAGCACCATGACTGTGTCAAGTAACTTACCTTGGGCCACTTGGGGCCCCATTTCTTTGAAAGCAAGCACTATAGAGGATCTTTGTTTCGTTTTTTTGTCTTTTTCAGACAGTCTGCCTGTAGCCCTAGCTGGCCTGGAACTATGTAGACCAGGCTGGCCTCAATCTAGAGCCACCTGCCTCTGAGAGACCTGAGTGACTCCATCTTGGATAAAACCTCCATGGATAAAACAGCCCTGAACTCTGTTCCAGGAAAAACCACAAAAAAAAGTATACTTGGAACAGATAGAGAACAACTACCCCGCCAACTGTCAATTAACCAGGGATAAGAAAGTACTGAGTCCAGATATCTCTTCAGATTTCCTGAAGGCAGCAGTTTATAGTTTGGCACTTGCTGCAACCAATCAGATGCTTGACAGGCTGGACCCCCCCCCCCCCGCCCGC